CCAGTCTGGGTGACAGAGTGAGACTCCAACTCAAAAAAAAAAAAAGAAACATCTACATAAAAAATTGTCATCTGCAAATAAGGATATTTTTGCTTATTTCATTTCCATTTTTATTTATTTTATTTTTTTATTTTTTTTGAGTTGCAGTCTCACTCGGTCGCCCAGTCTGAGTGCAGTGGCCGCTCCCGGCCACCGCAGCCTCGACCTGCTGGGCTCCGGCGATCCTTCCGCCTCAGCCTTCCAAGTAGCTGGAACTACAGGCAAAATTAGCCAGGAATGGTGGCACATATCTGTAGTTCTACTATTGGAGAGGTTAAGGCAGGAGGATAGCTTGAGCTCACGAGTTAGAGGTCGCCGTAAGCTATGATTGTGTCACTGTACTCCAGCCTAGATGATGCAGTGAGAACTTGTCTCTAAATAAATAAATTGAGAGTATTCTTTTAAGTTAGGCTCTTTTAGTTATCTTTAACTGAAACAGCAATGCTCTGGAAATAAATATTCTAGTTAAGTGGTGATTTTATATAATTGTAATGGTGAAGGGACGTAAAAGGAGGGCATTTTCAGTTTCCAGTGTAATCTTCGACTCAAGTATCAAAATTAATATAATGAACAAGAAGAAAATTTTTAATTATATGCCTAACTGTATTGCATTGAGGATTAAGTGGAAGTTTATTAACAGTGTAGCATTATACATGTAAGACAACTATATTGTTAGTGATTATTAATTTTCAACACTTTAATGTAGTATAATTTTCCTGATATTTGGCTTTTAAAGGCTTTTTCTTTTATTAGGTTAGGTTTGTAAATGAATACTAAAATAGCAAAATTTCCAGCTTAAAGGACTGTTTTCTACTATAGAAGTTCATTTTTACTTTTATACCTTAATAATGAAAATGCATTTCTTAACTGATCTCGGTGACTCAGCCTGTAATCCCAGCACTTTGGGAAGCCGAAGCGGGTACATTGCTTGAGCCCACGGGTTCGAGACCAGCCCAGGCAACTTGGCAAGACCTCGGCTCTACAATAAATCAAAAATTAGCCGAGCATGGTGGTGCGCACCTATAGTTTCAGCTACTTGGAAGGCTGAGGCGGAAGGATCGCTGGAGCCCAGCAGGTCGACATTGGGGTAGCCGTGAGTGTGTGCACCACTGTACTCCATCCTGGGCGACGGAATAAGACTCCAACTCAAAAAAAAGAGAATACATTTCCTGATTTTCCATATCTGCTAAAAAAAGATCATCCAGGAGCCGGGCTCCGTGGCTCAGCCTGTAATCCTGTGCTTTGGGAGGCTGAGGTGAATGGATTGCCTGAGCCCGCGGGTTCGAGATCTGTCTGGGGAACTTGGCAAGACTCCAACTCAAAATAAGATCATCCAGGAAATCCAGTATTCAGCAACTAGGAATTCTAAAACGAGAGAACAGATACAATTATCAAAGAAGTAATACAGTAATATTTCCCAGAACTAAAAGACATAATCTTCAGCTTGAAAGGGCACACAAAATACCCAGCACAATGAATGAAAAGAATAACCAACTCTCAGGAAATCATTAAGCATCCCAAACACCAGAGATAAGGAGAGAATTCTTAAAGATTCTAAAGATAAAAAGCATGTCATATTCAAATGATCTAGAATCAGAAAGCCATTAAATTTCGAAACAGTGACAATGAAAGCTTGAGGACAGAGACATATCATCCATGATACCATCATGACTTTCACCATCAAGTCCTGTAATGGTCAAGCTCTCAATCATGTTTGAACTTAAGAGAAATTTTTTACTTCTTGGCATGCAAAGTCACCTACTTTGCATCCTTTGCCAGGGCAGATATGTTCTTTCAAAGCTAAGGAGTAATCCACAAAAAAGGAAACCTGTGGTATCCGGGAAACAGGTTATCCAACACAGAAGAGAGATGACAAACATTCCCAGAAAGAACCCTACACAGCATATCCAAAGTGCAACCAGGCCAGGCTCAGTGGCTCAACCTATAATCCCAGCACTTTGGGAGACCTAGGCAAGAGGATTGCTTGAGCCCGTGGGTTTGAAACCAGCTGGGACAACTTGGTGAGACCTCGTCTCTACAATAAATAAAAAATTAGTTGGGTGTGGTAGCGCAACTTCATTTGGGTCTAAAGAAGTATATGCACTTGATTTGTAAAGTCAAACAATGCTCAATTTTATATCAAATACAAAGCAACAAGCCCTTATCCCCTTCTCTTCATCCTCCTACAGATGCAATCCCTTTAAGCTCTCTAGCTTCCTCTTATACCAGAAGAAGATTTTAGTTCTCTTGCTTGTTCCCTTCTCCTTTCCCCACCCTCCCAATATAGCAAAATCACAGTTGTTAAATCCTTAGTCTGTGTTCTCATTATTATATGTAAATGCACTGCTGACCCAAGTCATGCTCCATCATTATATTTCCTTTCTTATGTAACTTTTGTTTTTTCCCAGAGTTAATGTTTTTATCTTTCATTTGCTTAGTTGTCCTGCTCACTACCTCTTTACTTGTCTCCAATACCTTCTTCATGGTGCTCAGGGCTGCTGCACATCTGTCTGGGTACCAGCTGTCTGTAATCAGTTTGTGGTCTGACTGGTTTCAGCACGAGCTCTGAGTGGTTTAAGTGTCAATCCTGTGCAACTTTAAGCCTATAGAACCTCCCGACTATGTATTTTCCAGAGATCTTTTCTGGTGCCTTTCATCCATTGCATCCAGTTTTGGCTGGTTGCACTTCGTTTTTTGTTTTCTTTTTTGAGTTGAAGTCTCACTCCATCGCCCAGGCTGGAGTGCAGAGGCACACTCACGGCCACACCAGCGTCAACCTACTGGGCTCCAGCAATCCTTCTGTCTCAGCCTTCCAGGCTAGCCAGAACTACAGGCACGTACTACCATGCCCAGCTAATTTTTTATTTCTTGTAGAGACGGGGTCTTGCCAAGTTGCCCGGGCTGGTCTCAAACCCGCCGGCCCAGGCAATCCACTTGCCTAGGCCTCCCAAAGTGCTGAGATTACAGGCTGAGCCATGGAGCCTGGCCTGAATGTTTTGTATTTAAAAGCATCATTCAACATGATTATATGGAGTAAACTGAAAATTAAATTTCAACCTAAAAAATTGTATAGAAAACAGATTTTAGAACATTATTTTGGAAAACATAAAAGCACACAAATCCCATTTTTCCTCCTCACTTAACATTTAAATATGGGTTGTAATCCTGTGAGACACCTTTGTATATATTGTGTCTGTTTTGTGTGGTACTTGCTTTATTTTGTCTTGTGTTTGCTATTCCAAACCCTCCATGTGGGGAATCAGCCATCTCTGCTGTATTACCGTCATTTGCTTCACATTTATTTTTATTTCACACTTTGCCTTAGTCAGTATTTAGCCTTCTACATGTCCTTTATTCAGCACCTGCCTACTGTATGGTGGGTGCTAGGTATGCAGCAGTGAAAAAGATAGGTAAGGCCCCTGCCCTCACAGGATACTGTCTAGCTGTAGCTGATGTCTGTATTCACTAACTGAAAATTTTATTTCATCTGTGGTTGCTAAGAGCCTACCCATTGTTAAAATAAGCATTATCTCACAGACTTACTTTTCTGTAAAAATGCTATGAAAACAATCCTG